AGGATGACACGCAAACTAAAGTCTACTGCTTATTCCTTTGAGATCAGAGGTCCAGGACCCTCAGTATTGAACTCCACAAAGATACTGTTGCCAGTAAGATCCATGGCGCAGGTTTTGGCTTTCCCCATGGTGTTTGTGGTAGCCCTGCTATTCTAGTATTGGGTGGTGAGTTCCCCAGCTAAGGAGGTGTGCAAGCAGAAGCAGTGGTCTGGGGCTAGAGGAAGTTCCACCCTAAGCAAAAACAAGAGCCACTTCTCTGGGCCCAGCAGCCTGAGCTCTGCAGTCTGGACTCATCTGGAAGCCAAGGTTCTTCTCTGCTTCCCTCCTTCCTTCCCATAGGGCCAAGCCCAGATGTACACACACCTGGGAATAGACGTTGGCTCTTCTGTGAGCCAGTGGAGTTATTTGGAGCACATCACTTCTCTGCTTGGAGCCCGATGTCCTCGTGTATAAATTGGGGATAATGAGTCTACCCAACCTGAGGGTTGTTGCCAGGATTAAGCCTAATGACACAGGGACACTGCCTGGCACAGGGCCTGACCACACTGTGGACTCCCATCTCAGCTGTGCCTCCCCTTCTATACTGAGCTAAGGACTCGGCCTAGCACTGACATACACTTGTTGGGCCTCCAGCCCTTTCTAGGCCTTGAGCTCCCTGTCTGAGAAATGGATACAATAAACCCAAGTCAACCACTTTCTACTTTCCTTTGGGCCCTATCCTAGTTAGCCTGAGGAGTAAACAGAGCCGGTTATGGAATGCCCAGAGGTCTCACTACAGAACTGAGGTCAGGCTGCATCAACATCCCTTTCTAGGAGTGAAAAGCAGAGGCAAGGAATCTGTCTGCTAAAGAGGAGGGAATACACAGGAGGTGACCAGACCGGAACACCACAGCACTGAGTCCTTTGGGCCCTCTGGAGCCCCTAACTCCCAAAATGCTGCCTTGCCTGGCTAGGGACATTTCACTCACAGGAAATACAGGAAATGGGGTGTTCTCACACCTTCATATCCACCAAGGCTCTTTCCCAGAGCCAAGAAGGGATCTACCATGCCTGCTGGAACTTGCTGTGTACAGGAAGTGGTGTGACAGGGAGCTCCAGACAATAGACCACTGTCTGCTCAGGTGTAATGTCCCTGCAAAGGGTCCCTTGATTGACTCCAATCCCACCATTCTGCCTCTGTCCCTGAAGCTGCCTTGGGCTCCTCGCTCTGAGGCAGGTTGGATCAGGGCAGGGAAAGTGCTTTGTCAGCTCAGGCTCTGCAGAAGATAGACACTGGGGCTGAAAACAGTCCTGACATGAGGGTAATTATTCCACAGCCTGGGCCACAGGCTGCCCTTTGGGTTCTGCTCACTTCAAATGTCCTCAGCGTGTCTCCCTCCCTGAAGTGCAGGATCACTGTTCTGTCTTCAGGTCTTCGAGGGTTGATGATAGCCGTGATGATGGCTGCACTCATGTCATCGCTGACCTCCATCTTTAACAGCAGCAGCACACTCTTCACCATGGACATCTGGAGGCGGCTGAGGCCCCGTGCAGGAGAGCGGGAGCTGCTGCTGGTGGGACGGTATGGGAGGGCTGGGGAGGGATGGGGAGGGGCTTCGGCAGCACCATCTGCCCCTGAAGTCCTCACCAGATTTGGGTTTTGAAGGATGCATAGGAATTTACTAAGCAGAGAAAGAAGGGAAGAACACAGAGTATCTGGATTACACTTGTCATTCCTGAGCAAATTCCAACTGGGTTCAGTTCTGCTTCCCCAGCTACACCTGAGATCTTTCTGAGCTTTGTGGTTTGCTCCAGCTACCCTGGGATCCCAGAGCTAATCCTCAAGCTGGCCACACCCAAACCATAATGATGCCCCTAGTCTTAGGCCTACAACACCCTGGGCCATCTGAGGACCTGCTGCTTCCTCTGGCTGGCTTATCCTTTCCTTACTCAGCCCAGCACTTGGCCTCATCTCAGGCCTCTGTATAGCCCTCCAGATACTTCCTTCCACCGTGAGCACCCCTCACTGTGCCCTAGACTACTACCAGATCTCTCCCTCCAATAGGTCAAAATGAGTCTCCCTGGGGACCCTTCTGCCCTACCCTTGTACTTGACTGTGAGCCTGGGAGGGACTGGCCAGGGCAGTTTGAGAGTGGTCTCCTAGTGTGCCTGTTCCTTTTGCACTAACAAGGGCTGACTACAGCTTTCCTCCTAGAGCCTGGGGCAGGGGCTCTCCCCTCAGTTATCCCGGGCAGCCAGCTTCTGTGAGAAGAGCCCTGTTGGAACATGCCTGGGAGCCCGGGTGTCATGAGCTCATCTGCAGGAAGGGAGCCTCTGACCTCTGTAGCAGTTCAGGTTCTTATCTACCAGACCTGGTCACATGACACCTGACCACCTGTGTGCTCTGTGCAGCTGCTGTGTGACCAGAGGCCAGTCCCTCTGAAATAGCTTTTTGCTTGAAAGAAGTCCTTCAGACTCCCACCTCCTGGGTCCTGGGTCTGGATGTATCCGTGCCCCTCAGTGGGTGCCCCGCTCTCTTCTGGGAAGAGTAGCCCTAGCAAGCTGGCCTCGCAGCTGTCCCATTCTGTCTCTTCCCTTGGGATTCTATGTCCAGCTGAGCAATTCGAAGGACTCACCGACCATCCCTCCACACCGCCCCCCCCCCCACACACACCACAATGCAACACAAGGCACACAGTACCAGCCACTCAGAAGATTGGGTGTGTGCGCTCCCCCTGGAGGCTGTTTTAGGAAGAGGCAGCCGCCTCCTCATCCAGGGGCCGGGCTAGAACTGAAGGCCAGGAGTGAGAAGATGAGGCCCAGGAGCTGCGGGGGCCCTCCGGCTGGAGGGTGGAGGGTGTGTCGGTGGAGACCGCCTGGCTTTGAAGAGGCCGCGCCCAGCCGTGCTCCAGTCTAAGGGTTAATTAGCCTCAATCAAAGCGGCACCTCCTCCTTCTGCCACCCTCTGCCCAGGGCCTGGCTGGAAGCAAAGTGTGAAGGTGGGGGAGGGACCCACCTATCTACACACAGCCACAGCCGGTTGATCTTGCATGGCTCCGGCCACAGACCTCGCCTATCATATCCCTGAGTGAGAAGGGGAGAGGACTCAGCCAAGTGGGATTCCAGGCCTAGCAAGGTTGTTCAACCCTGAAGATTCCCCCTGAAGCCCCCAGACCCACACTGCCCCTGGGTCCCCTTGGTCATAGGTGGATCTGTCTGTAAGGCCAGCCCCAAAGCAGGCGAACTTCCAGCAAGGCCCTGACAAGGCCTTGGGAGGAGCAAAGTACCTGAGGGCAGCTGGGAGGTTGGCCAGGGGTGGGGGGTTCACCCGCCAAGTGGTGTGGGCTAGGGGCCAAGGATATGCTGGCTGGGGTGGTACAACGTCTGTCCGCCAAGGAGTCAGAAGATCCTCGGGTGTTCTAAGTCCCACTAGGCCGGCTCAGGTATGAGGGCCGTTGTGTCATTCACCAACCCCAGATGTCTAGAGAGCTCAGAAAAACACTGGTACCTAAGCACATGCGTGCCTGCAGAAGAGGTGCACGGAGCGGAGAAGGCAAGGGCAGGGTTGAGCGACTGGCCCCAAGTGCAGCAGGAGCCATGGGAGGAGATGGATCAGGAGAGCCTGGTTCCTGGTAGCCCGCGCTGAGATGGGCAGAGGGAACCAGAGGCAGGTCTTGGGAAGCAGGGGAAGTACAGATCCGAGGCAGGGCTGGTTGCTGTCTCCCACAGGCTGGTCATCGTGGTACTCATAGGCGTGAGCGTGGCTTGGATCCCAGTCCTTCAGGGTTCCAACAGTGGACAGCTCTTCATCTACATGCAGTCGGTGACCAGCTCGTTGGCGCCCCCTGTCACCGCCATCTTCGTCCTGGGCATCTTCTGGAGGAGGGCCAATGAGCAGGTGGGTGGCACAGACAGGTCCAGCGGGGTTCCCCTTAAGGGTGCCCCCCGAGTCCTCTGAGGTTCCCCGTCTCTCTTTTCCCCAGGGAGCCTTTTGGGGCCTGATGGCCGGGCTTCTGGTGGGTGCCCTGAGGCTGGTCCTGGAATTCCTGTACCCGGAGCCCCCCTGCGGTCAGGCAGATGAGCGGCCAGCCCTTCTGCGCAGTGTACACTACTTGCATTTTGCCATCGCCCTCTTCCTCCTCACCTGTGCTGTAGTGGCCGCTGGGAGCCTACTGAGTCCACCCCCTCAGCAAAGACAGGTGAGGCAGTCCTGACCCCTGACCTTATTGATGGATTCCTGTCTCTGCTGACATGCAGATCTCTGCCCGTCTCTGACTCCAGACATTCCCACTGTTGACTCCTAACCCTTCCTGGTCTAGACCTTTGTCTTTGAACTAAGCTCTTTCTGTAACTGACCCGCATACTCTCAGGGGCCACTCCGTCCTGCCACACCTCTTCCCTGCAGGTAGAAAACCTCACCTGGTGGACTCTGGCCCTGGACCAGTCCTTAGGAACCAAAGCAGGTAAGTGAGTGCCTCTGGGACTGCTCCTCATCCCACCCCCATTTTTGGGGCTGGGGATATGGACACCCAACTGCGGCCCAGATCCCTCACTGTCCTGACTCAACCTCCTGTAGGGGATGTCCAGACACCCCAGAAACGTGCTTTCTGGACCCGAGTGTGCAACTTCAATGCCATCCTCCTCATGTGTGTCAATATCTTCTTCTATGCCTACTTTGCCTGATGTTGCCACCCTCCTGGGGAAATATGGGAGCTTCAAGTCCTCGGGGCCACCCTCCTTCCTAGGTTGGACATGGAGGCCCAAGGAAGCAGAATGTGTCTACGTCTATACAGTGGGTCAGTGCCAAGTGTCTGGCTGAGCCAGCAGAACCGGAGCTCTGCAAAGATAGTAGAGAATCATTTCAGAAATAGCAATAAAGAAGTCAGATGTGTTGGTGGGGCTGGGAGGAGAGTAGGGAGGGGAAACTTCAGTTGGGATGTAAAACAAAAATAAATAAGTAGATGAAATAATTTAAATGTAAACAAATGCAAAAAAGAGAAGTCAGATATGGGAAGACTCTGTTGGATGTCTACTGGTTAATGTTTTATTTTGAATATGCAGGTATGGGTTCGGAGCATAGGGTATGCTAGGCTCGGAGCTTGAAGGGTCTTGGGCCAGCCTGGACTCAGGGAGAACCCTTGCAACCTGGGCTCTTCAAGGACTAAAGACAACCACAGAGGCACGTGCTCTCTCTCTCTGTCTCTCTCTCTCTCTGCACTCCACCACACACACACACACACACACAAAGCCTACTACCATGCCAGGCCTTGTCAAGTCTGACTCAGTTTTTCTCAACTTTAAGGTGCTCTGACTCTGGGCAGTCAGCTCAGGGTCCCTCCGATGGCCAGGCATCACCTCCTTGGACTTCACATTCACTCAGTGCTGGCCATAGGTGTCTGTTCCTCTAGGACCAGCATAGCCCAGGCACCCAGGCTGGGCTTTCTCTGCAGCCAACAGGAAGGGACCCACTGTGTGGCTCCTGTCCCTAACAGGCCTCTTCCAATGAGATTTACCTCTATATAGCTTCATCTGGGGCTGGTGGGGTAAGGCCAGGAGGCCCCAAGTTGTTGGAGAAGAAGAAACTACCCTGCACCCTCATGGAAGTCCAGGTCGCTCAGGGCTAAGCCCACATTCCCAGCAACTTGCACAACCTGGAGGGTGCTTTTGGAAGTAGGGCAGCAGGTGGCTGCTCAAGAGAGCACTCTCTGAGCTGGGCCCTAGCCATTAGCAGTGGGTCCTCAAGCCTGGAAAGGCTGCATCTTGTGGGTAGCAGTTGATGTCATGAACCCAGCAACCAGCCTGGTTGTTACCAACATCAGTCCTGGTTAGTGTGAAGAGGCTGAGCCTGGAGCATCCACTCCTGTGGTCTTGTGGGGTCACAGGTGAACTGGTTGCACGTAGCTCCGTGGGAAAAAACCCAGGCGCCCTCTAGCCCGGCCCCGCCACCAGTGCAGGTCCCCACACTCCACAACTTCCACGATGTCACCTCTGCGGAGGCTGAGCTGAGATGAGTCCTGTGCTGAGAAGTCAAACTGGGCCTGGACAAAGCAGACCCGCGTCGGCTGTGGAGGAGTAGGGGCAGAATAGTCAGTGGTCTTTGGAGGCAGTGAGCTGTCTTTCCCTGGGAACCCCATGGAAGAAATGAGGTCCTGTTGTGGGACATGGGCCAGGCAGGCCCTGTGCCGCTCACAGCCCTGCTACTGCACAACCCTGTGCCTCAAGTGGGGCATGGTTAGACCCAACCCTCTCTGGGTCCTATTCCCTACCTCCGGGCCCACATAAACATGGCAACCGATGCCAGACATGGAATTACTCCATGGCTTGTAAACCGCTAAGGCTTGGGGGAGTGGAAACCCTGCTTCTGCTATCTGCTCTCAGGTTTGGGTCCCAGGTGTGGCTGCAGCCCCTCTCTGCCTCCTGGACCCCAGTGTCTTCCCTACTGCTCTTGCTAGGCACCTCCCCTCTGCCACTGCTGAGCCTGCAGAACTTCAGAATGCGATAGGATCAGTAGGCCCTGCCCAGGAAGGAAGAGGCTCACCCTGCTCCCTGCCAATGGTGACCCGCAGGGCTCTGCTGAGCCAGTACTGAGGAACACAGGCCATGTAGGCCCCTCTCTTCTACCAGGCAGGGATAGCCTACGTGGTGATCAGGAGGGGCTGAGGTTTGGAAAGTAGGCCACCTTAGCTCACTAGGCCAGGCAGTGGAGCCATGTGAGCACCATTGGGTCCTCTGAAGTCACAGAGTATATCTTCTGGTATAGAAACACCTAGCTCATCCTACTGAATGGAGGGGAAACCAAGGCCCAGCTAAGGATTGAAATGGTCCCCAGGCCACATAGCAGGGTATCAGAGAAGAGGAGAACAACATAAGGTCAGACTGTGCAAAGTTGGACAGTCCTCTCCAAGCTTTGGCTGGAGTCACACTCCCCCTTTGTAGTGCTCAAGTTCAAATATGCCCAGGTCTTGATTTGCCCTGGCCTCTAAGCAAAGCACCATGTTGCACTAATAACCTGGTCGGCTGGTGTTGTCATCCTAATGAGAGTGAGAGCTGATCCTGGCTCCTTGATGAAAGGACTGGCTGGGGGCAAATTGCTGTTATTGTGAGGACTAGGGCTGGATGGATCTCCCTACACCCTGTGCCCAGCCAGGCCTTGTCCCTGAGGGGTCACACTGCCCACATCCTGTCCAAGCTCAGCTCCTCCTTAGGGAGTAGAGACCAAGAGGAGCCTCTCGCTGAGCTGGCTCACTCGGCCTCAGTTCCCTCATCTGTATAATGGGAATGCCGAAGTGGTCATAATGCAGAATACCAGGCTCATCCCAGTGCCTGGGAGGCTGAGGTAGGAGGATCACTGAGACTTCAAGGTCAGTGTGGTCTACATAGTGCATCTCAGGCCACCCAGGGCTACACAGAAAGATCCTGCCTCAAAACAAAGAAAAATCCTGCCAAAACCCAAATCAGAATGCACAGTGCATTGCAGCAGGTGTCCAAACACTCATCTATCAAAAAGCATTTATTTTCACCTATTGCACACTCCGAATGATTTCGGTCCATGTTGGCAGGGTGGGGTTTCTGCACTGTTCCTGCCCTCTACACTGTCCTTCCCCTTCCTGCCCCATCCTTGCTCAACTCAACTCCTGTAGGGACCACACTTGTGCCACTTTGGGAACTTGGGCTTCTGGGGAGGGCAGGGAGGTGCCCCTGAGACTCAGGGCTCCTCGTCCCATCTTTACCTGGAGCAGCGGCTGCTCATCACACAGGAAGATCTGCCGCCTCTTGGCAATGGTGGTGGTTCGGTAGAAGTCGACCAGCTCGTTGAGGGAGTTGAACTTCTCTTCCCACAGGAAGTACTTCCCTGAGGCCTCTCGAAGCACTTTGAAGTGCTGCACCTGGTCACCATAACTGGAAGGAAGACTAGTGCCTCAGATCTGCCTCACCCCACCCCCACCCCCTCCGGAGCCAGGCCCTGCTCTGGGGATATCTGGAGTCAAAGCAGGCAAAGATACTGGGAGCCATTTTGGCAGTAGAATATGGGATCAAGGGTATGGACCATAGACAAGGCCACTTCCTTGCTGTGACTTCAGGCAAATCATTTAACTTCTCTGAACCTCAGTGTTCTTATAAGGAAAAGCGACACTGAGTGGCTCACTGGGTACCTCTGGGTGCATCTCTTTCATACCTCTCCAGCATTCCCTCCACATGGCCACTCTCCTCCATCCCCTGCCCAGCCCAGTCCTCACAGTTCTCTGGGGAGTGAGTCCCAAGATCATTCAGACTCCAACCAAACTCTGTGCCTATGAAAGATACTCGGGTGTTTTGAACATTCCACATCCTTTCTTTCCCTTCAAGAGCCTTCCATGGCTGCCAGTGCCCTATTGATAAACCCCGCTCTTCAGATTCAAGAGCTAGCTTCTTGCCTTTGCTGGCTTCCCTGACACCAATGCCCCCCCCCCCTTTCTTTCTAATTCTTTTTCATCCTTTCAGACCAATGCCACCAAACTACCAAATCCATCCCAGTCCTGTTAGGAATTGTGCCCAGGGACCTGCCTGGGTCTACCCTGCAACCTGTCACACACCAGAAGAGCCAGGCAGTCTCAGAGGTGCTGATGTGAGGGCACAGTGGCAGCTGTTAATTCTAGGATCCCCTTCCTGTCACATAGTCCTGCCTCCTGACCCTATGCACAGTAGGGAAACTGAGACCTGAGTACAGCTACAGCCTATCCAGAAACCCACAGAAGAAAGTCTGGGTGCGGCTGCCTCTCATCACAAATACTTGGAGGAGCTCTCTGATTGATTATTGATGGTGACAATGGCAGTTGTCACTCCCACTGCAACATTATGTCCCAGATATTCCAAATGCGACCTACTCCCTGGGCTGTGCCCTCCAGAGAGACCATCCTCCTCCCAAGTCTGTAGCCCCACCCCACCCTCCACCTAGTCCTTCTCTCACCAGCCCGGGGATGGGCTGAAGGGTTAGGATGAAGACAGCACTTGGGATCCAGGGACGCTCCCTGCCCAGCCCTGACTAAAGTCTGGAGAGGGCGGCAGCTCACACCTGGAACCCTAGAGTCCAGTTTGAAGCCAACCTGGACTACATAAACAAATCTCTCTCTAGGCCCTGGCCTTCCAGTAGAAAAAAGTGTTTCTGCATGCCCACTCATGTTCAAGTTCCTGATAAACTGCCCACTCCTGGAGACCTGACCTCACACGCCTCATCAGGGTCAGGGTCCAACTTGGGTCCCTATGTCCTTATGCAGCCTTATTGCTCACAAAACTCACAAAGGCTTGTGTACAGTACCATAAGCATGGGGATAGAGCTGCCCTGAGAGTCCACACAGACCACTATGCCTTCAGCCTTCACCACAGACCCACCTTTGGAGGCTTCTGCCAGGGGTGCCCCAGTCCCCACACCACAGAGAAAACGGACAGCATAGTGTTCACAGTGACTAAGCTGTGGCCCACCTCTCTGGCGTCAGGTGTAGCTTCGTGGGAACCACTGTGAACGGCACAGTGACTTGGTATGGCCAGGAGTGCAGGGACCCAGTAAGGGCTGGGCAGGCTCCGGACTCCTAAATCCTTGCTCCTCAGAAAGCAGCTCAGAGCCTGAGGCTTGGAGAATTTTGCCAAGGACTGCTCTTAGATCCCATGGGAGAGCTGGGGGACAGGGCATGGGGCCAGGAGTTCTAGAACTTTCCAACCTGGCAGCTGGGAAATCCTTAGGACTGGGAAATGTGACAGTCCAGTCACATTTGTATTTGACATGTCTTACCCTTTCTGCCACCTGACCTACAGCTTTTCCTGTTTCCCAGCTGAGGAGGGCTAGGCTGTCTGGAAGGGGGTCTGTTCCTCTATGTCACCATCCTACACTAATCATCAGGTCCCCACACTGCCCCTGAGCCCCAGAGCTGGGTTCTGGAGAAGAGGTAGCATAGCCTGGACTCTGGGGTTTGCAGTATTCCCTAGCACACTGTCTTTACTTATCTCCACCTCTGTGAGGTGACCGCCTGCGTCCCTTGCTGGCTGGGCACCACTTTGTGACCCTGTCCCCAACCCCCACAGGGACTGCACTGAACCTGGTCCCTACTTTGAGAAAGCTCACGGTCTTAATCTGGGCAGTCTTGCTCATCAAGTTTTTCCTGCCTAGCCGAAGCAGCAGCAGCAGCAGCAGCAGCTGAGAGGAGTTTGGGTGGGCAGGAGCCCATGTTCCCCTGTCCCCAGTTGGGGCTCACCTGGGTCAGGTCTGGGCACTCACTGCTCTGTCCACTGGGGGGAGCAAGGGAGAGTAGGGCACTGACCCTGCAGCACACAGGGAGAGGAGACCTTGAGAGGGCCTACTGGGTCTTTGCATTTCAGGAAATGATGAGGTCAGTAGCAAGTTTCTCACACCTCCCAGCACTTTACCTCCACACTGGGATCTATAGCCCTACCTCATTCTCTCCAGGCACCATTATTCGTTGACCTTGTGCTCTCCATCATTCTAGCAGGGCACAGGTATGTGGGGGACAACGAGTTTTGCCCTATTTAGTGGCGACCGCAAGGACAGGGCTTGGTTCACAGTGACGTTCGGGTGTAGCACTCATCTAGTGGTATAGACAAGTGTATACTAACTCCAAGGCTCATGGTCAGAAAGGAAGCAAGACACCTTAACTGGGAACTACCTCCCACTCCAGCTATGACGGAAGCGTCTCCAGCGGCCTGGATAGGAGTATGTGGGGGAGTTAGGCAGACAGGTGCCAGCCAATGGGTTCAAGGGGGTCAGCTCTCTGAAATCTCCCAGTGAACTAGCTGTGGATATGGCACTGCAGAGCGCCCTGTGACAGCTTTATGTGTCTTGGCATGAACTTGTGGGAGACCCAGGCCAGGAAGGGTGGACTGTCAGGTTGACCTCAGAGTCACAGGTGAGGATGTGGCCACCAAGAGAGGACCAGAGCTTGCCTGAAGTCATACATCAGTCCCAGGCAAAGCCAGGGTGAGACCAGGGCTCCGAACCTCCCCAACCAGTCTGTCTTCCGGGAGCCAGAAGTGGTTTCTGAGCAGGTGCTCCTCTCCAGGTCCACCTCCAGCCATTGTTGGGCAGTGTGCATCCAGAGAGCAGTTCTGTTTATACCAATGTCTACTTTACAGATGGGGAAGTTGAGGCTCCCGGGATAACTTGCCCGGATTTCAGGGCTAGGAGGTGTCAGAGCTGGGACTCACTCCCGGTCTGGGATCCTAGCTACACATTAGTCTCAGGATCCCTGACCCAGTCTAGGAGGAATGGAGGGTGGAGATGGCCACCTGGTGGTCCAAGCTGGGGAAGCACTGGCAGGGCCTAACATGGGCACTTGGCCGGAGTCCTTGGGAAGGGGGAGCAGTGTGTGCCAGGGTTTCTTTCAGCACTGCCCATTGGCCCAGCCCCCCTACTGGAAAACTGCCCCAGACCATTGCCCTCTCCTTACAGTCAGGCATATTACCACCCAGATAGCCCTCGCCCGCCGTAAGTTCTGGATCGTCACACATGCTGTTTCTTCTGCCTGACTCCCCCAGCCCCTAGCAGAGCTCGCACACATGCTTTAGGCCTGGCTCTACTGCCCGTACCCCTCTTGGAGTGTGTCTCCTGTTTTTGGACTTCCTCCTGCACCTGCTCATGGTGGAAGTTCTGGGTCTATGTGTATTCCATCATACTCCCTGGCTTCTGCCTTTCTGCCCCTGTCCCAAGGTGGCTAGTTAGGGGCACTCTCCAAGATCTGCCAAGGCAGCCTCGGTCTCTGGGGAGCTCAAGATGGGTGTGGTCAGACAGCTCCCTCTTTGCTCCTGCTCTAAGCTTGATCTGTGTTTGGGTGCCCCTGCTTGGCTAGATGACCTTGGGACTTGGGGAACCTTCCAATAGTTACTGAGACTGGGTTATCTGCCTGGTGGATGTCATTCCTAGGAGCCACTTCCTGCTGTGGCCTGAAGGGAGTCAAAGGGGCAGGGATACATACATACATACATACATACATACATACATACATACATATATATATATGCCTCAGGACCCTCCTGCACAAAGAGTGTCAGATGGGCAAGAAGACTGGAGAAGATGTGGGGGACCCTCCTGAAGTAGCCAATGGCTGCTGCTGCACAGCTGAGGTGGCTGGAGAAGGTGTGGGGGACCCTTCTGGAGTAGCTAATGACTGTTAAGCAGCTGCAGTAGCCGAGCATGTGATGTAGGCAGGCTGTGCCCCAGCTTTCCCCTGCGGTGGGTTTTGCTGCTCCCACAGGCAATCAGAGCAGAAGGGAAGGACCGCAGCCCACAGGGTCTTCACATACTGCTATGATCCTTGGTATGCCTGTTGTGGAAAGCCATTGACCAGAGGTCAAGCCTAGCCTGAGAGCAAGCATCCTTGAAGAGCCACACACAGGCCACACCTTCCTCTGTCCCTTTAGCCCAGTAGCAAGTCTCATTCCAGTACTCTAGGAGCAGTCAGGCAACAGAGCAGAGGCCTGCTGTCCTAAGCCCTCACCTCTTAGGCCTTGACACCCCTTTCTCCCCTACACACTATCTCCTGCTCACTTCCTGCTGCCTCGTCCCTCTTCCTTCTCAGAGCCACCAGGGGGACCTGCTACAGATGGACCTTTTCCCACTCAAAATCCCTCATGGCTCCTTGATGCTCTGAGAGAAAACCCAGGCTATGGCTCTCCTCTCGTTGAGTGTGAGCCACGCTGTGCCCCTTGTTTCTGTTCCTCCCACTGCCTGGCTTCCGGGTTCTAGCACAATCTGGGGCATCCCACGGTGGGGCTTTGCTCTGCAGCTCTCTCTGCCTGAAAGCCTCCTCTGGACACCAGATAAAAGAGTACCACCCAGTTCAGAGACCCCAGCAGTCTTCCCTGGTTAACCTCCTGATGTGTGTGTTTCCTTGCTTCTGTCTCCACAGTGCTGCCACCTTTGTCCCCTTTGGTGTTGTTTCCCAGTTTCCAGCCAGCCTGGCCCAACTTAGAAGCCAGTAACCTGCCAGAGCTGGCAGCCAGGGGCAGTCCCATTCTGCTATACCAGACTGAAGAGCCACTGTGTTCATCTTAATAAGGCACATAGTTCCCAGTTCATCAACCTTGCTTTCGCTTCTGTTGCCAGGCCCCATCCTAAAAGGTGTGAGTTCCTCCCTATGGAGTAAACACAGCATTCTGCTTTAAAAATGCTGACTCACTCATTTTTGCAATGACCTATTTTACCCATGAGGAAACAGACCCAGAGAGGTTAAATAACTGGTCCTACACCACACAGCCACACAATGACAGTATCAGAATTGAGAGTGTCTGGCCTCAAGGTCTGTCCTTTCAACATTGCCATAGAGGGGAACCCTGTGAGGGACACTGTCTGGGCACCAGCCTGGGGAGCCATTGGGCAGCATTCTTCCTCTAACCAAGAAGCCTCCACAGCTCAATTGCTGATCAGGCTAGAAGGTCGGCCTCCTTGGACTACCACCTGAGCGTGCACCCAGTCTACCCAACCAGTGACCCTGCTGGGCCTGCCCACCTATTGGACCACCCACCCACCCCGGGCTCACTTCACAGAGACGGAGAACTCGCCAGGGGAGCTCTCGCTCTCCCTGATCAGGAAGGCTCCTAAGTGGTTCCGTTTCATCAGAGTCTCTTCAGCCAGCTGCCGAGAAATCCTGCCCGAGTACCACCTGTGCAGAGAGGGGACAGCATCATCAGGTATCTGTTAGTGCTGGGCAGGGCTGGCCCTCTGTCCCTGGTATCATTGTCTCACTATACATGCGGAGAAATTGAGAAATGGGGAAGACACCAAGGTCACACAGCAGAGGCAAAGAAAGAACTGAGACAACCTGTCCCTGCTGCTTCCTACCGATCCACACCCAAGACAAACAAAAGCCAGGCCCCAGTGCTCCACCAGTCTGCATATCCCATCTGACTTGTAGATGGAGAATTCCCTTTCCTTTTTAAGATTTATGTAGTATCATTATTTTAAAATTATATGTAATAGATATGTACACACACACACACACACACACGGAGGAGGGGAGGAGGTATGTGCACAGGAGTCCAGAAGAGGTTATCAGATCCCCTGGAGCTGGAGTTGTTGGCGGTTATGAGCTGCCTCAGGTAGGCGCTTAGATCCAAACATGTATTTCCTACAAGAGGGGTATGCACTCTTTTTTCTTGTTGTTTTGGCTGTTTTGTTTTTGTTTTTTTGAGACAGGCTTTCTCTGTGTTGCTCTGGCTGTCCTGGAAGTAGCTCTGTAGACCAGGCTGGGCTTGAACTTATGGAGACCCACCTTCCTCTGCCTCCCAAGTGCTGGGATTTAAAGGCATGCGCCACCACTGCCAACTAGTATACACTCTTAACCACTGAGTTAGCCTTGATTTTTTTTTAACATTAAGATCTATTTATTTCTGTGTGGGCATCCACATATGCAGGAATGTACATTACACACACACACACACACACACACACACACACACACATATATATATATATATATATATATATATATGCCAGAGACAACCTACCAGTCTCTACTTCCAGCATTTGAGTCCTAGAGACTTAACTCAAGTTATCAGGCTTGGCAGCAAGTGCCTTTAACTACTGAGGCATTTCACTGGTTAAGGACAAATATTAAAACGTTAAGAAGTATAAAACTGTACTAGGGTGTGGATCAGTGGTAGAGTGCTGGCCTAGCATGCTCGAGGCTCCGTGTTTCTTCTTACACCATAGATAAATATGGATGACATCAATAATAGTGGCCTTCCTTCCCTGTGCCCCTCCCGCATAGGAGCAGACTTGGTACAGGACTGTACCTGCTAAAGTCTTGCAAGGCAGGAGCAGGCTCTCCTGGAATCCTTCCTGTCTGTTGGGCTGTCCAACTCCTTCCACAGCCTTTCCAGCCAGCTGCTCCCAGGGCATTGCATCAAGTCCTAGGCTAGTGTCTTAAGATCCAGAGGGGATTTTCTGGGAGTGAGGAGTCCTCAGGAATGGGAAACTGCCTGCCACACATTGGAACTGGATTTCTATAATGACTATTCTTGACTACATCTGGAATTAACTAAACCCCAAAATAGAGGGAACACCAGTGAGGGATTTCTGCTTAATTTGAAGTAGGAAGATCTACTCTGATCCATATGCTGAGGTAGGAACACATACCTTTAATCCAGATTTTTTGAGCTGGACCTCTAATCTGGGCCTTGCCTTCTATATAAGGACATGGAAGAAGGAAGTTTTTGCTCTTTGCCTGTTTGCCCTCATCTTGCTAGCAAGTTCATTCCTTTACTGGTATTAGAGCTTACTTTGGGAAGACCAGTTGAGACATCCATCTAGGTTGACTGAATAACTACTGGATTCTTGGACTTTCCAATCACTCAGCAGGCCCCTTCGGATCTGTCTAGCACCTTATCATGACCCTGCTTGACCTAAACATAGGTGGCCAGAGTTGCCCTCCAGGCTACCAGAGGCTTGAGTTCTTTGACTCTGAGTACCCCCTTGGACCCTCCTTCCTGGTCTCCATGACAGCTTGACCCAGGACTTCAGCCCTTGCAATCCCTCTCCTGGTCCTGTGTCAGGCTCAGCAGTTCAGACTCGGCATACAACCTCCCAACCTTTGCCTTAAGCCCTCCCTGGCCCACCCAGATGACCCAGCCTTAGCGCGCTCATGCCCTAGACTTCTCCTGGCTAGCACCTGAGCTCTTCCCCTGTGTCCTTCTGCCTCTGGGGGGCAGAGGGGAATGCACCTGGCAGGAAGGCCTGAGACCCAGCAGAATGGTTGGGGATGGGGACCCCAAACAGGGCTATGTTCAACACAGGAAGCTGGAGGTGGTAATGAGGGGGCAGCAGTTTTGGAAACAAGCAGAAAAAAGACAAAGAGGAAACACACTTTGGGCCCCGCCCTGCACCTCCTTCCTTTCTACCCAGACACACAGCACAGCTCCTACCTGCTAATTGAGGTCCCCATCCCAGCACCCCCATGGCTCCCGGCTCTCTTGACTCAGCACCTGAGGCTCTTCCTGCCAGTCCCTTGTATTACAGGTTCTGCTCATTGCTCTCCTTGGCTCATTCTGGTTTCCTCCCACTTTCCATCTTCCCCTGAAAATGCCATAAGTCATTGCCTTTGTCTATACAGCCAACTCCTATACATCCCTCAACACCTCACTCCTTCTGAGTGGTACCCTTTCTGAGAGGTACCCTGATGCTGCCTGCCTATCCACATATACTTTCTGTGCCGTGGCTGACTCCTTGGAACCAAACCAATAACCCAGATGCCAATTAAGGTATATTCAGTTGGTGACCAAGGACATTTTAGCTACTCAGATATTGTGAGAGCAATATTCAATGCCACCTCCTAAGAACCTGACCTAGGTCCCAGGCCCGAGACCCCTGGGCCAGACTGTGTCCTAGCCTTCCCAAGTCCTAGACCGGTCAGCCAGTGTCCATCTCCTTAGGCTGTGCTTGGAACATCCCAAGCAGCTTGGCTCTGGCAGGACAAGGTGGGGTTGCATAGCCTCTAGGCAGATGGTGGCAGTGGTGACTACTCACGGGTGTGGCTTTACACGGATGTAGTTCTTGGGAACAAAACCCTCAGCTCCTCGGAGCTCCGCTTTGTACCAGTTCTGGTCATCTTCCATGTTCAGGATCTGTAAGCAGAAGCAACATGGCCACTTAGTCACCTGCTGAGGTCTCGTAGTCTGCAACAGTTCCCAGGACTTCCACAGAGGGCAGAGCCCTGGATGAGGACCTGTTCCATCCCACAGGTCAAGGCAGCCTACAGGCAGATGGTCAGATGGTCATCCACCGGAGGCCTCTGTCTGCAGGTTTGTGGTTATGGCGTGGGGCATTGTGGCTTCTATGCTCTTCCATCCTGACCCACCAGGGGCCTCAGGGAAAGGGAATAGACTTGTGATCCTTCGCTCTTTTGATTGCAAGAGCCCAGAGCAGCCAATCAATGACCACTGAGATGTGACATGAAGCTGGAGGCCCCCAAATGAGTCGGCAAGCCCCAACAGATGGTTATGTTGGGTCACATGCATTTAGTGTTTGGGATGACAGTGAGAGTCAGGGACAGGGAAAAAGAGAAAAGAGCCCATGTTCTGATGAAGTCCTGTCACCACAGGTGGACTAACCAGAACTGGATAGTCACCGGGTAAACCACTGAAGGGTAGAGAGTGGACCTAGGGAGGGGACAGCACCCTTCATCCCGTGGGTACATTTACCCTGTGTCACCCCAGTTCTTAAGCAACCCGAAGAAGCTGACATCACCACGTGCTGTTTCACTGATAGGCTCAGAGAAGGAGTGAACTTGGCCAATGCAACACAGTATACAGTTGGCCTGGGGATTTGGAAATGCTGGTCTTGGGGGCTTAGACCACTGGCTTTCACCCCACTCTACTCCTGCTTTGTACTTGGAGCCAAGCCTGAAGCTCTTCTCTGGCTAGGAACCACTGTAAAGCTGCCCACCCCCCCATCAGAATGATAGAAACAGGGACACAGACATGTTTAAGTACGATCTACAGGTGAGAAGCACCTGAGAGGCTGGACTTGAGCTCAGGCCTAAGTGTCCCCCACCCTCCTCCAGTCCCCGAAGTCACTGGAGCCAGGTTGAGCTCTTCCTTCCTGGCCTGAGCAAGGTCAGCAGAGCTGGGCAGATGGAAGCAGGTAGCTGGCTCAGGGCCATGTTCACTCAAAACGAAACAAAATTTCCTGGATGTGGCCACAGCTTGAGAAAGAAGTCCTAGCCAATGCTCTTGAGCTCTGGTCACTTCTGCTGTCTCTAGGGTTTTGGCTTCAGCGTCCTTGCCTCTTAAATGGGTACAGATGTGGCCAACACCATGCAAGGCCTTATGCTTTGGTACCTATGTGGCCACTGCTACCTTAATCCCTGCCATGTGCTGTCCTGCTTCTATCCATCTCTTTTTAGAGACCACTGATGCTTCTACACTTACCTTGCTGAGTTTTCACTGTTGATGGAGCCCCAGAGAACACTCTCCAGAGTGCTACCGCATCCCAGTTCAAGCACAGAGCACGTCTGCCCTGCCATTGGCCCTAACTGCTGCTGGTCTTCCTACTAGATGCAATCACTGAAAACTCAATGCTGAGCACCTACTGGGTGCAGACCACAGAAGGACTCCTAGAGATGCAGTAAGTAGTAGAAGCCCTACCCCAGGGGCAGTAATGCTGTGAAGAAGGCTAAGAGACAAAGGAGCAGCAGCTTCTTTGTGCAGTGGGGTGTGCCGTGGGAACTGTTGTTGGACAAGGAGCTGCCAAAGGGGCGCGCAGAGTGTCACACAAAGGTCTCTCCAGAGATGCCCCAATTTACAAGAAGGAACCAGCTAATTTGGTGGTCCATGCTTGTCGCCCCAGCACTTAGAAGGCTGAGGTGGAAGGATTGCAGAGTTCTAGGCCTGTTTGGGCTATATAGTAAAACCCTGTTTTTGTAGTTCTCCATCCCCTGCCCCAACAGCAACAACAACAATAACAACAAAAACTAAACAACAACAACAACAACAAAAAGAAGTAAAAGAAACCAATGAAACTATGGTGAAAAAGAAGAGTGTCCAAGATAGAGGAAACAGGGGAATGAGCCCAACTTTGTCCCCTTTAAAGAAGACTAGTTCATCTGGCTGTGGGCAGGAGGCAGGGAGAGCAGCATGTACTGATGAGCACTTCACTAGCTCCATGACTAGAGCAGGGGGACTGGGCACAGGGAGAGATACTCAGATTCGGCAGGGTAGGAGTCCAGAGTTGGGAGGGCTCAGGCAGGCTGCCAGAGTGCATGGGTGCCATCAGTTTCCCAGGGGATATTAGTCTGGGTCTCTGGAGCAAGCTAATCATGGAGAGACTCCTATGTGTGTGTGTGTGTGTGTGTGTGAGAGAGGGGGGGTGCCATGCTCTTTCTCCAGTGAATAACGGCATGGTGCTGTCTACCTAGAAGCATTGCCTGCCAAAGAGGACCTTCATCCCTGGTAAGAGTCACTCAGGTGCTGGATGGTGGTGGTGCACACCTTTAATCCCAGCACTCAGGAGGTAAAGGCAGGCAGATCTCTGTGAGTTCAAGGCCAGCCTGGTCTACAAAGCTACACAGAGAAACCCTGACTCAAAACACACACACACACACACACACACACACACACACACACACAAAGGAAAAGAGTCACTCAGGGCAGCATGTCCTGAGCTAGCCTACGGGCCACAGGGTTTCCACCTAGATTTTTTTTCTGAGCAGCACCTAGAGAGGAAGTTGTGTTCCACCTGCAAGCTGGCGCCACTTGGCATGACATGGTGACACCCACTTGAGCCCAATAGGGGTGGGGCTGGACACCAGCACACAGTGTAGCCCTGGCCAGAGAGGAAACACAGCTGCTCTACACATGGCTGTAATATTTTTAAGTTACAGACAGCAGGCAGAGACTATGGTGAGGTGGGGAAGCACTCTGGTGTCAAATTCAAAGCATGCAAAAAAAAAAAAATCTCAGAATGAAGATACTATGTAATGTTTAATGCAATGAGTTAACAAACTGAAACAGGAAGTGTAGAAGTGTGGTGGTCAGCAATCCAGTTCATCATAACCACAGCTGGTGGTGGTTGCACCAGTGAGGATGCAATGCACTTTTTTTATCTGTGTGGTTTCCCTGCCAGTCTAGGACCGGTCTAAAGTGTAGCCAGCGAAAAGCAAATGCAAAAAGGATCTCAGAAACAGCCCGTGCAAGAATTCTGAAGTGGGACCTAGAGGTAGCGTGTTTGCCTAGTATGCACAAGTCCTGAGTGTATCCCTAGCTCTGTGAGAGAAAAGGGGAGCGGGGCTGTAGTGCAAGAGTCTCCATTCCAGCACTGAGAGGGTGGGCAGGAGGATCACTGTAGGTCTGAGGCTAGCCTGGGCGACATAGTGAATTCAAGGCTGCCTGGGCTTCCAGGGAGACTTTGTCTCAAAAACAAGCAAGACGGCCAGGGAGAGAGCTCAGCAGGTAAAAGCACCTGTTGCCAAGCCTGATGACGGGTTCAGTCCCTGGGACCCACACGGTGGCTCCACAATTTGTTCTCTGACCCCTAAAAGTGTACTGTGGCACCCGCACCCCCCCACACACACAATTCACACGTATAATTTTACAAAAAGGAGGGAAGCAAGCAAATAAATAGAATGTGACTTTGCACTGGAACAGTAATGACAACTCTGCACCCTTAGTGTTTTCCTGTGCTCTGGGCAGGGGAGGATAGGTTTCCACCTAATCCCCACCCGACTTCGGCTGGTGCTGACTTCTTACACCAGTGGTAGGGGCCACACCCTCAGCCTCCTGAGGGCTGGGACCACTGGCTGTACCACCACGCCCATTCAGGTTTACTTCTGTATCTAATTTGTCCTGTGTCTACCACCGGAGCACCAGCTGCCTGGACACAGCAACCCTGCCTGATTGCTTTCTGAAGATTAGTTAGACTCTAGGCCAGGACCAAGGACCTGCCAGATGGCCACAGAGTCTTGACTAGCAGAAGAAAGGTCTCTGTCTGATTATAAAGGGAGTTTCTGGACCCGACAACAGATTATTTTATCTTTCATTTATTCATTTTAAGACGGGACTCTCTTTCATTTATTCATTTTAAGACAGGACTCTCAGTGCTATCCAGGCAAAACTCCTAGACTCGAGTAAAATCCTTCTGCTTCAACACCACTTTTGGGTGCTGGGGATGCAGGGACATGCCACCAGGCCAAGTGCAAAAATGTAAAGCTTTTATATGTTTCCAAGATGTCCATCTGTCACTTAACCCATCTACCACTCCACAAGGAAGTACACACCTCTCCACGCTCTCAACAACCTAGGAGGTTTTGTTGGTTTGATTGTTTTTTCAAAAGGAAGTTCTTCTTATTATTATTATTATTTTGGTTTTTCGAGACAGGGGTTCTCTGAATAGCTTTGGAGCCTGTCCTAGAACTCGTTCTATAGACCAGGCTGGCCTCGAACTCACAGAGACCCTCCTGTCTCTGACTCCTGAGTGATGGGATTAAATGAGTCACCACTGCCTGACAAAAAAAGAAGTTTTATGGGTTTGGGGTTTTTTTGTTGTTGTTGTTTGTTTTTTGGGTTTTTTGTTTTGTTTTTGTTTTCGAGACAGGGTTTCTCTGTGGCTTTGGAGGCTGTTCTGGAACTAGCCTTGTAGACCAGGCTAGGCTAGTCTCAAACTACATAGTGAAACCCTGTCTCAAAAAAAAAAAAAAAAAAAAAAAAAAAAAAAGGCAAAAGAGCTCTTTACATATTACTATCATTTGGTCATGAAGTTTTAGTTTTTCCTTCGTCTGAGCTACCTTTGTGTCTCTGGCTCACCCAACAAGCCAGGACCCCTCCCCTCCCTCTCATACTTTTGTGAAACTCTTCAAACAGGTCAAGGTCCTGCCTCCTCAGGGATTTTGTGTCTGGGCTGGGTGCTCTTTCTTCCCCCAGGCTCTTTGCATAGCCAGTTCTTTCGGTGCCCAGGTTCCCACACCTCTTTTAAGAAGTTGCTGTCTTTCCCACCATAGCAACCCTCCCAACCCCAGCCTCCTGCCTCCCTGCCTGTGCCCTTGCATGGAGCTTGGCTAAGCAGCCCGGTGCTTGTCAAATGAATAAAGCGGGAAACAGCTGCCCCAGGTCTGCTGACTACCCATAGTCCCTTGAGCTTGACACGCACCTCTTCTGCTTTCCTTCTACTCCCTCACTGAAAGCCAGCGGTGCAAGCTGTTCCTGCTTCGTGCTTCCCGGTCCCCGTTCTCATGGGCTTCTGATGGGTAGACAGACTCCCCTTCTCCCCATCCCCTTTCCCTTCCCCATCCCCACGTCTCAGCAGACTCTTAGCAAAGTGATTCCTGCTCATCTTGGGAGTCTGTGAAGGAGGAGGCTGTTGGTCTTTGTAGAGTTACCCAGGGGAACCTCACTGGACCCTCTGAGCCTGGGCCAGAATCTTCTACACAGCATTCCTACTTCCTGTGGGCCTTCTAGCCTCAAGTGTGTGTGAAGATATACCCCAGGCTGGTCTCCAGAGTAGCTGAGACCTCGAAATAAACTTAGATCTGCACAGAGTCATCCCCCAACCATGTCCCCTACTGCACCCCCAGGCTCTTCCCAGGCCAAAGTGATTGAGTGTTCTCAGGATCCAGGGCCAACAGCTTAGGCAGATACAGATGCCAGCAACTAACCTTGAGGAAGGGGAAGCCACAAATATATGCAGCTTCTTTAGACCCATACCAACCTTAAAACCTCAGCTTAGAGTTTTAGGCACCCAAGGGACTGAACAAAGGCCCAGAGTTAAAGCAATGAAGGTTGAGACTCCAGTTCACACTAAGCACATGCAGATACCTCCCCAAGCCTCGCTTCCCTGCAATGGTCTTCCACACCCAGGAACACTACACTGAGCCTGGGTCCCATGCACAAGATGGCTTCAAAAAGACTGTCCCCATACTTGAGTCTTTGGGCCAGACTCAGGATAGTAGCCACCTAGTCCAGTACATGCTGCTCCGGTGGTCCAGTGGAGGGTACACGATGGGCTGCTAGCATTGCAGTGCCTCTGTTCTAGCATGACCACCCCTCACATCGTGACTATGGCCCCTGGGCTCTCCCATCATATGCAAAAGTCTAAGTAAGGGCATTCCCACTATAAGTTTCACACACTCATCTGTCTAATGACTTGGAAGGCCACTATTTTGATCCAGAGGGGCCTAGGTGAGAGCAAATGAAGTATATTATTATGTTTTCCCTTTCCCCACATTACTGCTGGACACTTAAATCCCAGCTATCTTAGCCCTGTTAGGTTAGGATGTCTGCTTATTCTAGACCACCTTTTCACACACACATACACACATACACACACACACACACACACACACACACACACACGTCTCTCCCTCTCTTTCTCTCTCTCTCACACATAGGCATACACATACACACACACACACCCTAGAAAACCAGGGAATTGAACAAAGTCCTGCTGCCAGACACTGTAGCAGCTGCCTCAAACTCTCACATGACCCCAAAGGAAGGATCACTAATATATCCCTGTTTTCTAGATGGGGAAACTAAGGGGAGGCAGAGGTGGCTAAACTGAGCCTGTCCCTCACAGCCCAGACTACCAGGGCTCTCCTGAGCCCTGATTCCAACCCCATCGCCCCTGTTAGCCCTCTCAGCCCAGCTCCAGCCCTCTGTACCTTGAGCGTGTCCCCCTTGTTGAAGGCCAGCTCATCACTCTCTGTGGCCTGGAAACTGTACAGGGCTACGGACTCCATCCCACTGTCCCTGGGCTTCAGCCGAGGACCCAGCAGACACTTCCTGCTTCCTGTGGTTGAGGACCACTTCCTTTGTTTTGAGTATTTGTTCTTTTGAAGCTGGAGCCGGAAACTGCCCTTGATGGGGGAGAAACAGGAAGCAGAGACCTGTCACCCATGTCACAGCTCAGGGAGGGTGTGTGTGCTCACGTATCTCCTGGGCTGTGGGGGAGTCCCGGTGTCCTCACTATAGATGGTGCAGAGCTGTCTTGTGCCTGGCCCCTGTCACCCAGTCGCCATATTTCTTACTTGTCTTATATAGGGTTTCTATTGCTGTGATAAAAAAACATGACCAAGAGCAACTTGGGAGGAAAGGGTTTGTTTGGCTTACAGGTTATGTAGTCCATCATGGAAGCCAACGCAGGAATCTGGAGGCAGGAACTGAAGCAGAGACCATGAAGGGATACTGCTTACTGATTACTGGCCTGCTTCCCATGGCCTGCTCAGCCCACTTTCTTATACAATGGGCACCCAGAATCACCTGCCCAGGGGGGGACACCACCCACACTGAACTAGACTCTCCCACACCAGTCATTAATCAAGAAAATGCTCTGCAGACTTGTCTACAGGCCAATTTCTCAACTTTTAAGTTGTCTCTTCCCAGATGACCTTGGCTTGTGTCAAGCTGACAAAAAAAAAAAAAAAAAAAAAAAAAAAAAAAAAAAATCATCTAACCAGGAACATGACTGACTCCTAAGCACCTGCCATATCAACCCCAAGCTCCAGGCCCTGTTCAAGACCCGCCCAACCATCTCCTCTCACCCATTCTATGCAGCTCCCACGTGTGCCCCTCTGTTTTTTTGTTGTTGTTGGTTGTTTGGTGGATTGGTTAGTTGGTTGGTTGCTTGGTTGCTTGGTTAATTGCTTGGTTGGTTGGTTTTCTGAGACAGGGTTTCTCTCTGTAGCTTTGGCACTCACTCTGTAGACCAGGCTGGCCTCTGCCTCCCAAGCACTAGGACTAAAGGTGCGAACGCACCACCATCCAGTCCACATGCGCCCTCATTCCCTCCACTGTGAACAAACAACAGGCTCAAGTCACTGTGGCAGGCACTCCACCCTTTCCTTCTTGCCACCGCTTGTCTTTCTTCTGCCACAGGAAACTCCTACTCCCCTATCAAAACCTCACTTGTAAGGCCCCTGTTCTGCTTTAAACATTGGGTACCACCTGAGCTACATGTAGCAAGAACACAACTAAATCTCTCTGGTGAGATTGTTAAGGGCTATGATATTGGTGTGGACAACAGTTTTGTGAGCATTGGAGGATAGAGTCTAACATGGAGAAACACAACTATGTGTTTGGAATCAGAGTTCCCCACAGGAACCACGGTGAACCAGTATTGTCCAAACACACAAGACAGCAACAGAGAATGCTGCTCTTCCAGAGGACCAGGGTTTGATTCCCAGCATCTACGTAGTGGTTCATAGGCATCTGTGACTCCGGTTCCAGAGGGTCTATAACCCTCTTCTGACTTCTGTGATCATCAAGAACAGATATACATACATTCAAAGCACTCATAAACATAAAACAATAAATCTTGAGAGAGAAAGGTAGACTTTCTTTCTTTCTTTTAATCTAGGGTCTCACTATGTAGCACTGGCTGTCTTGAAACTCTATGTAAACCAGAATGACCTACAACTCAGCAATCCACCTGCCTCTGCCTCCCCCTGCATGATGGAGGCTATCATGCCAGGTGAGAAAGGTATTTTCCTAGCCTGGCACAGTAGCACTCAGGAGGCAGAGGCAAGAGGCTCTTGACACATGGGCCAGCCAGAGCTACACAGCAAGAGTCTAACTAAAAAAGAAGTTTCCTCTTCACAGTATGGGAGTTCGGCTCTTGGCCCCATGTTTTTGTCGGTGGTAATAATCATTATCGTATCTATGTGGTGCTCAACTTGGCCCTCATTTGGACCACAGTGGGATCCCATTCAACCTGGCTGGCTCCTCATCCCCATGTCCTCATAGTTCTGTGAACACGTCCTGATCAACCAATCGTCACTGTTTTAGCAGACAGAGAGGGTGTGTGTGTGTGTAATTTTTAAAGGCAAGGCTTTCCCTCGCTATCCTAGACTCACTGTGTAGACCAAAATGGCCTTGAATTCACAGAGATCCACCTGCCTCTTTCTCTATAGTGCTAAACCTCACCCTCCCTCTCCCCTCCAATCTTCCCCCACCCCTGCTTTCTGCCTTCGTGTCACATGTGTCCTGTGCCCTCGCCCACAACCCCCTTCCTCAGAACCTCTTTTTACTCTCTCAATCTCCTTTCTAGGGTTTCACCCACATTTCCCCTTCTTTCCACACATGTGTACACTACAAACTAGGGTCCACATATGAAAAAGAATGAGGCTTTTCTTTCCAGGCTTGGACCACCTTGTTTAATAGAATACTTTCCAGCTCCACCCATTTTCCAGAAGTTTTCAGTGTTCGTTGCAGTTGAACAGGTTTCCATTGTGCATGTACCACCTTGTCCCCATCCAGGCATCAGTTGTCGGACGCCAGGGCTGAAAGCCTTTCCTAGCTACTGTGTTAGAGCAGCAATGATCATGGATGTGCAAGTGCGTCTGTGGTAGGCTACAGTCCTTTGGGCACATGCCCTGGAGCGTTATAGCTAGGTCATATGGTAGTTCTGATCTTAGCTACAAAACCTCCATACTGGTTTCCTTAGTGGCCATTCCAGTTCATACTCTCAGGAACAGTGAATAGGGATTCTCCTTTCCCCATATCTGTGCCAGGATTTGTTGTCAGGTTCCTTGATGGTGTGACCATTAGGGTGAGGTAAGTTAGCAAAGAAGTTTTAGTATTTATTTCCCTGATGGCTACTAGGGTTGAACAACTTTTGTTGTTGTTGTTGTTTTGGATTTTTCGAGACAGTCTCACTGTGTAGCCCTGGCTGTCCTGGAATTCACTTTATAGACAGGCTGGCCTCAAACTCACAGAGATCCACCTGCCTCTGCCTCCCAAGTGCTGGGATTAAAGGTGTGTACCACAATGCCCTGCTTAAATCTTTTATTTATTGGTGTGTGTGTGTGTGTGTGTGTGTGTGTGTGTGTGTGTATTTTAGCTTTTTCAAAATAGAATTTCTCTGTGTAGCCATGGCTGTCCTAGAACTCATTCTGTACATCAGGCTGGTTTTAAACTCAGAAATCTGCTTGCTTATAATAAAAAAAAGTATTGGCTATTTGTGTATCTTCTTTGTATGTCTTTGTATGATAGGATAGGCTAATAAACATCTTTATGGCAAGGGATGGGAACTACCTCCCCCACCAACCCGCAACCAGCAACCAGCAACCAGAAGCCAGCAGGACACACCTTCCTTGCAGAGGAAGTTAACCGAACATGGGACCACTGCCTGTGCCCTGGCAGCGGGAGTCATCCTGATCAGCAGTCACTGATTCCTTCCTTCTTTCTTTTGTTTGTGGTTTTGTTTTGTTTTTCTAGACAGGGTTTCTCTGTGTAGCCCTGGCTGTGCTGTGGTTACTCTGTAGGCCAGGCTGGCCTTGAACTCAAAGATCCGCCTGCCTTTGCCTCCCAAGAACTGGACTAAAGGTGTGCACCACCACTGCCTGGCCCCTTATGGGTTCTTACTTACAGCTAGACCTTGAAGCTTTCCTCTAGAAGTTTCAGTGTTTCAGGTTTTAAATTAATGTCTTTTTTTTGGGGGGGAGGGGTTTGGCTTTTTTGAGACAGGGTTTCTCTGTATTGCTTTGGAGACTGTCCTGGAAGTCTCTCTGTAGACCAGGCTGGCACTGAACTCACAGAGATGTGCCTGTCTCTGCCTCCTGAGTGTTAGGACCAAAGGCGTGCGCCACCAACACCTGGCTTAAATCAAGGTCCTTGATCCAGTTAAATTAATCTTGTGTGGAATGAAATATAATGGATCTGATTTTGTTCTGAAGTGGATATCTAGTTTTGCCAGCACCATTTGTTGAACAGAGCTATTTTGCACACGGCTTCTGTATTTATTTCTTCGTCTGACAATATAGCTGCAGGTGACAGAAGGCCACAAATGCAACCAGTGTGGTGGGAGAAATCTGAGTAGCCCAGCTCGTTCTTATAGCTTTTTTCTGAAGGTTTATGAAAATGTAAGATGTATGCCAACTTACACTTATCACAGAGGGAGAGAGAGAGAGAGAGAGAGAGAGAGAGAGAGAGAGAGAGAGAGAGAGAGAGAGAGAACATATTAAAAACAAAAACAAATAATAAACAGTTGAGGGGAGAGAAAAGGAGAAGAGCAGGGAGAGGCGGCGGCTGCTCTTAAGGACCAAATGGCCCATTCAGGCCTCCTCAGGGCCTCTGCCTCAGCTCTCTGCCCTTACCCACCCTGTCACAGACTCAAGGTGGCAGGAAGCTAAGCTGCCTCTTTCCACTTCAGTCTCAGCCAAGGCTTCCGATCTCAGAATGGTGTAGCTGGGGATTGGCACACACTCATCCCAATCTGATAGGGGAAATGCTTGTCCCTCAGAACTTGGGTGTCAAAGGCTTCAAGTTCAGGCTGCTGACTGCCCCTAGCCAGGACAGTGTGGGTTTAGCATCAACTCTTCACATGAGGGTGAATATAGCTCAGCTCTCTGAGAAACTGTAGGACCCTTTGATTGGCATGGCCTAGAAAGGGGGTGGAGTCAGAAGCTGGGGAAAGAAGGCGGCAGCTACAGGCCCAGACTCATTCATTCATTCATCAGCCCTGAGCCCTGTTTCTACTGTCTGTCTTCCTTTCCCTGAGGCACTCGCTCACACACTCATCTTGGGTTCCTCAAACAACAGTACTGGTTAATGAAAATCATTATGACAAAGGACTGAAACTACCCCCAGCGGCCAGGCACCCTCAGGACAAACACCCCCCTCGTCAGACACACACCCCAGAGGAGGGCAGTTACCACCATGGGTGGCCACCCTATTGGGCAAAAAAAATACTTCTCAGACTACTTTGCAGAACCAGACCCCGAGCTGATGATCAGCCAAGGCTCACCTCGGCCAGGACTGCATAGAGTCAAGCAGTGGGTCTTGTTTCCTGTCTCCTTGCTTCCTGTTTAGCCCCCAGCCTCATGTCAGCTCCTGAAG